GAAGAAGCCTACTGTGTAGGCGAAACATTTCGGAATAAAGTTGTCTAACTGTTGCATATGTGTCTTACCTAACAACCTGTCGGTATTGTATACCATTTTGATGTTCAGATACAGATACTAATGCCGGAAAAAAAATTCCCCCCCAGTACCAACAATACCACCAGTCCGATAACATTCTTCTTTGCAAATATACAGGGTCTAAAGCCAGCAACAAACAACAAAATACCTTTCATCCGTGGACTGCTTGCAGAGGCAAAGGCAATGTTCGCGGCTTTCACTGAGACCCACATAAAGGATCACTTGGACATCGAAATATGGATCCCAGGTTACAACCTATACAGATGTGACAGAGTGAACAGGCAAAAGGAAGGGGGGGTTGGCCTGTACATTGCAGAGTCACTTGTTTGCACAGAACTGCTTAATGCCTCAAATGATGTAGTGGAAGTTTTAGCAGTAAAGGTCGAGAACCAAACCTAGTCATTGTGGTAGTCTACAAGCCTCCGGATGCAACATCCCAGCAATTCCAGGAACAGCTGTTAAAAATTGACCACTGTCTGGAAAATCTTCCAGCTCCTGCACCCAACATCTTGCTCCTGGGGGATTTCAACTTAAGGCACCTAAAATGGAGGAATATAGCAAATAATATTGTTGCAGTAATAACACCAGGAGGCAGCTCTGATGAAAACTCACACTCACACGAGCTTTTAAATCTCTGCACAAAATTCAATTTAAACCAGCAAATAATAGAGCCTACTAGACTGGAGAATACACTAGACCTCATCTTCACTAACAATGATGATCTGATAAGAAATGTCACCATATCAAAAACAATATACTCAGATCACAACATAATTGAGGTTCAGACATGTATGCGTGGAGCCCCAGACCGACATAATGAGACTAAGTCACGAGGGACCATTCACCAAATTCAACTTCAATAACAAAAACATAAAGTGGGACCAAGTAAACCAAGTCCTAACCGATATAAGCTGGGAAGATATATTAAGCAACACAGACCCCAACTTATGCCTAGAACAGATTAACTCGGTGGCACTCGATGTATGCACAAGGCTTATTCCTCTAAGAAAAAGGAGGAGTAGATGTAAAATAGAAAGAGACTGGCGCTCCCTTTACAGGCGACGGAAAAGAATAACAGAGCGGCTAAAAGAGGTCAATATATCTGAAATGCATAGGGAGACACTGGTCAGAGAAATAGCAAGCATCGAACTTAAGCTAAAAGAATCCTTTAGGAGTCAGGAATCGTGGGAAGAACTAAAAGCCATAAATGAAATCGAAAGAAACCCAAAGTATTTCTTCTCCTATGCCAAATCAAAATCGAGAACAACGTCCAGTATTGGGCCCCTACTTAAACAAGATGGGTCCTACACAGATGACAGCAAGGAATTGAGTGAGCTACTCAAGTCCCAATATGACTCAGTTTTTAGCAAGCCGCTAACCAGACTGAGAGTCGAAGATCAAAATGAATTTTTTATGAGAGAGCCACAAAATTTGATTAACACAAGCCTATCCGATGTTATCCTGACGCCAAATGACTTCGAACAGGCGATAAATGACATGCCCATGCACTCTGCCCCAGGGCCAGACTCATGGAACTCTGTGTTCATCAAGAACTGCAAGAAGCCCCTATCACGAGCCTTTTCCATACTATGGAGAGGGAGCATGGACACGGGGGTCGTCCCACAGTTACTAAAAACAACAGACATAGCCCCACTCCACAAAGGGGGCAGTAAAGCAACAGCAAAGAACTACAGACCAATAGCACTAACATTCCATATCATAAAAATCTTTGAAAGGGTCCTAAGAAGCAAGATCACCACCCATCTAGAAACCTATCAGTTACACAACCCAGGGCAACATGGGTTTAGAACAGGTCGCTCTTGTCTGTCTCAACTATTGGATCACTACGACAAGGTCCTAAATGCACTAGAAGACAAAAAGAATGCAGATGTAATATATACAGACTTTGCAAAAGCCTTCGACAAGTGTGACCATGGCGTAATAGCGCACAAAATGCGTGCTAAAGGAATAACAGGAAAAGTCGGTCGATGGATCTATAATTTCCTCACTAACAGAACACAGAGAGTAGTCGTCAACAGAGTAAAGTCCGAGGCAGCTACGGTGAAAAGCTCTGTTCCACAAGGCACAGTACTCGCTCCCATCTTGTTCCTCATCCTCATATCCGACGTAGACAAGGATGTCAGCCACAGCACCGTATCTTCCTTTGCAGATGACACCCGAATCTGCATGACAGAGTCTTCCATTGCAGACACTGCAAGGCTCCAGGCGGACATCAACCAAATCTTTCAGTGGGCTGCAGAAAACAATATGAAGTTCAACGATGAGAAATTTCAATTACTCAGATATGGTAAACATGAGGAAATTAAATCTTCATCAGAGTACAAAACAAATTCTGGCCACAAAATAGAGCGAAACACCAACGTCAAAGACCTGGGAGTGATCATGTCGGAGGATCTCACCTTCAGGACCATAACATTTGTATCAATCGCATCTGCTAGAAAAATGACAGGATGGATAATGAGAACCTTCAAAACTAGGGAGGCCAAGCCCATGATGACACTCTTCAGGTCACTTGTTCTATCTAGGCTGGAATATTGCTGCACACTAACAGCACCTTTCAAGGCAGGTGAAATTGCCGACCTAGAAAATGTACAGAGAACTTTCACGGCGCGCATAACGGAGATAAAACACCTCAATTACTGGGAGCGTTTGAGGTTCCTGAACCTGTATTCCCTGGAATGCAGGAGGGAGAGATACATGATTATATACACCTGGAAAATCCTAGAGGGACTAGTACCGAACTTGCACACGAAAATCACTCACTACGAAAGCAAAAGACTTGGCAGACGATGCACCATCCCCCCAATGAAAAGCAGGGGTGTCACTAGCACGTTAAGAGACCATACAATAAGTGTCAGGGGCCCGAGACTGTTCAACTGCCTCCCAGCATACATAAGGGGGATTACCAACAGACCCCTGGCAGTCTTCAAGCTGGCACTGGACAAGCACCTAAAGTCAGTTCCTGACCAGCCGGGCTGTGGCTCGTACGTTGGTTTGCGTGCAGCCAGCAGCAACAGCCTGGTTGATCAGGCTCTGATCCACCAGGAGGCCTGGTCACAGACCGGGCCGCGGGGGCGTTGACCCCCGGAACTCTCCAGGTAAACCCCAGGTAAACTCAGACGGGTCATACAGTCCGGTAAAATAAATATAAAACTTACAGCTTAAATTATGTAAGTTCACTTAGTTCATTATTTTCTGTAACAGATGCTGCATAATTTCCATTTTAGTGTACTGGTAATTAGTTTTATATATAGTAATATTTGTCATTAAAATGTGGGAATAAATAAATGCAATGAAATAGGTTAACTAATATTGTAAAATGACAAGGAAGCAAGAATAAGGAGGACGAGAATGGCGTACGTACTGCCAATAACACTGAAGAAAAGACTAAAGTAGCAGAGCCAACGTTCACATGGACAATGTTTCAGAACTTCATCAGGTCATACTGGGCTTGTTAGGTAAAAGGACACAAGTGCAACTAATGTGACATTTTATTGTGGGAACGTTTCGCTCTCCAGGAGCCTTATTAAGCCGTTATGACTTGATAGAGCTCCTGGAGAGCGAAACGTTGCCACAATGAAATGTCACATTAGTTGCACTTGTGTCTTTTTACCTAACATATTGTCGGTAATTCTACCAACACATAATGGGCGTGACAGAACTCTGGAAGACCAAAAACTTTGTCCCAATGGAAGGTTATTCAGCAAAGGTGAGTCTTAGTTTTCAAGGGTAAAGGGCTGCTGTATATGGACTTGCTGTATAGTCCTTGTGGCTTAGCGCTTCTTTTTTGATTATAATAATAATAATGTATATGGACTTGAGGTAGTGTGTATGTGGGCACGACTGTAGGGTTAGTGTTTCCTGCTTCAGTCATGAAATTCAGTGTAAAGTAAAAGGACACAAGTGGCAGCCTGGAGGCTGCCACTCCACTCAAAGGTAACTCCAATGAATGTGTACTAACTTTTATTTCCCACAGTATGCAGTGTGTAATAGGCAGTTACAATGGTAGTCTCTGGTTGTGGGTGATCACTTCCCGCACGAGTATACCGAGTACAGATGAATATTCAAGGTCTGAATACTTACGCGGAAGTAGAGGGCCGGGAATAACCTGAGAATACCTGTTGAGTCCGTTACAGCTGCTTGCTCCTGTTACCAAGGATGCCAGTACGCGGCTGGTACGTCAGTTATATGATTAGTGATTTACTGTGCACGGCCGGGGATTTGTGCATCTCGGTCACTAGCTTTGTTGGGAATGACTCTCCATGGAGCCCAGCCTGCCGGCACTCAAACTCCCGGGCTGAAGGTGCCCCGTGCCCATAGCTTAAATAATGTATGGGACGTATGATTACTACAGTAAGCTAACGACTATCTACAACTTGGTTTAAATTTTTGTAGTAGTAATACAGTAATTGTAGTGCATAATTAGAATTAAGTATATATAGAACTGCCACGTCTCCTTTAACCCCCTCATCCCTACATTCTCCCCCACTGGAGGGGTGGGCATAACAGTTCTGAGGAATCACGAAATTCACCACAAACTGGGTTGTTAATAATAATAATAATAATAACACTTTATTTCAGCATGACACAATGTTTGTATAACGGTGAATGACATTTAGGTGTGTATGCAAAAAACCCCTATGTATCGTACCAAGACAATACCATTCACATTGCTAAATTTACGAACTGTAATGCAGTTACTTAGCCTTAATGTCAACATGCTCCATAATCTGTACCAATATAGTCTACCCGAAATGCCTCGCATGCTAGGTGTGATAGTGGCCCTCTCTCTAATTATTATTTTATATGTAAACCACAATATCCTATAATATGTGAACTCCGCATTGTAATCTTTATAGAGAATAAACTTGATTGATTGAAAGAGAATTGCTTTGACTTACCCAAGAGGACATCATTGTCACGGTCTGGGGTGGAGAACTTCATGCCATTGTGCCACTTGAGAGCGTCCCCAGCCTGCGAGTTGCTGGTGTAGCGAACCACCTTCAGCTTGTACTTCTCACTCTCCCCACCAACACTGTCCTCGGCGGGCAACATAATGGAAAGTCACAGTTAGAAAGTGTCAATCATGGGTTATACTGGGTCAGTCAGTCCCACACGATTTGGATATATGCAAAACAACAACTGTGAAACTGATATGCAGTCTATAATACAGACACAGGTGTTGTATGATCCAACAATCGATAACACAGACACAGGCGTATGACCCATATAGTCCAAAATACAGACACACTCACAGGCTCTGTATGATCCATATATGACTCATACAGTCCATAACATACATCCATTATGACAGATACACTCACAGGCGTTGTATGACCCCTGCAGTCCATAATACAGACACACAGGCGTTGTATGATCCATACAGTCTATAATACAGACACAGGCGTTGTATGATCCATACAGTCTAGAATACAGACACAGGCGTTGTATGATATATACAGTCTATAATACAGACACAGGCGTTGTATGATCCTTACAGTCTATAATACAGACACAGGCGTTGTATCATATATACAGTCTATAATACAGACACAGGCGTTGTATCATATATACAGTCTATAATACAGACACAGGCGTTGTATCATATATACAGTCTATAATACAGACACAGGCGTTGTATGATCCTTACAGTCTATAATACAGACACGTGTATGATCATACACTAGTACTTACTCATGGATATGCAAATATTAATAGTAACATGCTTCTTAACAGCAAATTTCATGCTTAAGTTTGATTAGGTTAAATGATGTTACGTTAGATTATTATCTACGAGTCAAAATTAACTAAATATAAAATGTCATATCCCTACTAAATGCAGAATAAAATACGAAGAGAAAGCGTCGACTGACTGAGGGTTGACCATAGTAATGTTTTCTCTAAGGATGATTAAAATTACGTTTATTGCCGTTCAGGTATGTTATTATAATTATGTTTTTTTTAAATTATTTAATTATAATCTAGCCAGACATAACCTGACCTAAATAAGTAAGTCGGGGATTTAATCAAAACCTCATGTGAGAAAGTCATGTAGACTTTATGGGGATGGGTTACTGAGGCTAAAACATTAATTTTTTTTTTTGTCATTCATTTCCCACCATGGCAGGGTGACCCTGTGAAGGAAGCACATTCACCATCACTCAGTTAAAAAAGGTGAGTAAGGACATCACAGTTAAAATAACTCGCCGAATCACCACATTCCTCTCTGACCTACAAGAGTGTAGCCAATACTCTCCAGCTCCAGAGCTTGAAGTTCAGCCAACCAATCTCCATGAATTAATTTATGCATTTTATCTTGCTCACAATTCAACAACACATCTAATACCACGTAACACATGTCTCAACTCACTTCCTGCTGAATGCTGAAACTTCTATACTTTGAAGCCTCCTTCACCCCCTCATCCCTTCTCTCCAACTCTTCCTGGGTTATCCTTGCACCTTCCATCCTCTATGATTACAAACCGTCTTAATCAACTGATGTCTCTAAGTCTTCCTAAATTACCAAATCATCTCGACAACACTTCCTCTGCTCTTCTTTCCTTAATTTTCCTAATTTCTTCGCTTCTTTTTCTCTGTATGATATTCACCTCATACACTGATCTAAATAATAATATAACTAATTTAAGCGCTAAACCTAAAAGGGTAATTTAGAACACGGATCTCGCCAAACACGACACTTCCAGTACCTCCGGCCTCCTCACGATACATCCAGTGCCTCCAGCCTGCTCCTGAAGACATATCCAGTGCCTCCAGCCTCCTCCTCATGATATATCCAATGCCTGCAGCCTCATCGTCAAGACACATCCAGTACTTCCAGCCTCCTCCTCCTCAAGACATCCAATACCTCCAGCATCCTCCTTAAGATATTCAGTGCCTCCAACCTCTTCAAGACACATCCAGTGCCTCCAGCCTTCTCCTCACGATATATCCTGTGCCTCCAGCCTCATCCTCAAGACACATCCAGTACGTCCAGCCTCCTCCTTCTGAAGACACATCCAGTGCTTCCAGCCTCCTCCTCACGATATCCTGTGCCTCCAGCCTCATCCTCAAGACACATCTAGTACCTCCAGTCTGCTCCTTCTGAAGACACATCCAGTGCCTCCAGCCTCCTCAAAACACATCCAGTACTTCCAGCCTCCTCCTTCTAAAGACAAATCCAGTGCCTCCAGTCTCTTCAAGACACATCCAGCACCTCCAGCTTCCTCCTCACGATACATCTAGTGCCTCCAGTCTCCTCAAGACACATCCAGTACCTCCAGCCTTCTCTTCAAGACACATCCAGAACCTCCAGCTTCCTCTCAAGACATTTCCTGGGAGCGCTTGAGGTTCCTGAACCTGTATTCCCTGGAACGCAGGCTGGAGAGATACATGACTATATACACCTGGAAAATCCTAGAGGGACTAATACCGAACTTGCACGAGAAAACCACTCACTAGCACACGAAAACCACTCACTACGAAAGCAAAAGACTCGGCAGACGATGCACCATCCCCCCAATGAAAAGCAGGGGTGTCACTAGCACGTTAAGAGACCATGCAATAAGTGTCAGGGGCCTGAGACTGTTCAACTGCCTCCCAGCATACATAAGGGGGATTACCAACAGACCCCTGGCAGTCTTCAAGCTGGCACTGGACAAGCACCTACAGTCGGTTCCTCACCAGCCGGGCTGTGGCTCGTACGTTGGTTTGCGTGCAGCCAGCAGTAACACCCTGGTTGATCAGGCTCTGATCCACCAGGAGGCCTGGTCACAGACCGGGCCGCGGGGGCGTTGACCCCCGGAACTCTCTCCAGGTAAACTCCAGGTATTATTATAAAAAAGAAACGCTAAACCTACTAGGGTATATATAAGACATCCAGTACCTCCAGCCTCCTCCTCAAGACACATCCAGTACTTCCAGCCTCCTCCTCAAGACACATCCAGTACCTCCAGCCTCCTCCTCAAGACACATCCAGTACCTCCAGCCTCCTCCTCAAGATACATCCAGTACCTCCAGCCTCCTCCTCAAGACACATCCAGTACCTCCAGCCTCCTCCTCAAGACACATCCAGTACCTCCAGCCTCCTCCTCAAGACACATCCAGTACCTCCATCCTCCTCCTCAAGACACATCCAGTTACCTCCAGCCTCCTCCTCAAGATACATCCAGTACCTCCAGCCTCCTCCTCAAGACACATCCAGTACCTCCAGCCTCCTCCTCAAGACACATCCAGTACCTCCAGCCTCCTCCTCAAGACACATCCAGTACCTCCAGCCTCCTCCTCAAGACACATCCAGTACCTCCAGCCTCCTCCTCAAGATACATCCAGTACCTCCAGCCTCCTCCTCAAGACACATCCAGTACCTCCAGCCTCCTCCTCAAGATACATCCAGTACCTCCAGCCTCCTCCTCAAGACACAACCATTACCTCCAGCCTCCTCCTCAAGATACATCCAGTACCTCCAGCCTCCTCCTCAAGACACATCCAGTACCTCCAGCCTCCTCCTCAAGACACATCCAGTACCTCCAGCCTCCTCCTCAAGATACATCCAGTACCTCCAGCCTCCTCCTCAAGACACATCCAGTACCTCCAGCCTCCTCCTCAAGACACATCCAGTACCTCCAGCCTCCTCCTCAAGATACATCCAGTACCTCCATCCTTCTTCTCAAGACACATCCTGTACCTCCAACCTCCTTCTCAAGACACATCCAGTACCTCCAGCCTCCTCCTCAAGACACATCCAGTACCTCCACCCTTCTCCTCAAGACACATCCAGTACCTCCAGCCTCCTCCTCAAGACACATACGGTACCTCCAGCCTCCTCCTCAAGACACATCCAGTACCTCCAGCCTCCTCCTCAAGACACATCCAGTATCTCCAGCCTCCTCCTCAAGATACATCCAGTACCTCCAGCCTCCTCCTTAAGACACATCCAGTACCTCCAGCCTCCTCCTCAAGACACATCCAGTACCTCCAGCCTCCTCAAGATACATCCAGTACCTCCAGCCTCCTCCTCAAGACACATCCAGTATCTCCAGCCTCCTCCTCAAGACACATCCAGTACCTCCAGCCTCCTCAAGATACATCCAGTACCTCTAGCCTCCTTCTCAAGACACATCCAGTACCTCAAGCCTCCTCCTCAAGACATATCCAGTACCTCCAGCCACCTCAAGATACATTCAGTACCTCCAGCCTCCTCCTCAAGACACATCCAGTACCTCCAGCCTTCTCCTCAAGACACATCCAGTACCTCCAGCCTCCTCAAGATACATCCAGTACCTCCAGACTTCTCCTCAAGACACATCCAGTACCTCCAGCCTCCTCAAGATACATCCAGTACCTCCAGCCTCCTCCTCAAGACACATCCAGTACTTCCAGCCTTCTCCTAAAGACACATCCAGTATCTCCAGCCTTCTCAAGATACATCCAGTACCTCCAGCCTCCTCCTCAAGACACATCCAGTACTTCCAGCCTTCTCCTCAAGACACATCCAGTATCTCCAGCCTTCTCAAGACACATCCAGTACCGGTGGCCTGGTGGCTAAAGCTCCCGCTTCACACACGGAGGGCCCGGGTTCGATTCCCGGCGGGTGGAAACATTCGACACGTTTCCTTACACCTGTTGTCCTGTTCACCTAGCAGCAAATAGGTACCTGGGTGTTAGTCGACTGGTGTGGGTCGCATCCTGGGGGACAAGATTAAGGACCCCAATGGAAATAAGTTAGACAGTCCTCGATGACGCACTGACTTTCTTGGGTTATCCTGGGTGGCTAACCCTCCGGGGTTAAAAATCCGAACGAAATCTTATCTTATCTTATCTTATCCAGCCTTCTCATGATACATCCAGTACCCCTAGCCTTCTCCTCAAGACACATCCAGTACCTCCAGTCTCCTCCTAAGACACATCCAGTACCTCCAGCCTCCTCAAGATACATCCAGTACCTCCAGCCTTCTCCTCAAGACACATCCAGTACCTCCAACCTCATCCTCAAGACACATCCAGTACCTCCAGCCTCCTCAAGACACATCCAGTACC